TGTACTTGTAGAGAGAGACAGAGAGAGAAAGGGGGAAGGTGACAAAGCACCCACTCCCCAAAGGGGGATGGTAACACCACAATTCCTTCTCCGTTTCTCTATCCTTTTGGGATTTTGGCACACAAACACACACACACACACACACACACACACACAAACCCAGTGTGTTTCTCAAGCCACTTGATCCAAGACTTGAATCATACAGTCAGTCATGATGTGAGATCCAGCCACCATAACCACCATACCACAGGCTGGGTAGAGGGTAGAGTTCTTCTTTTTTGTTTTTTTGTTTTTTGTTTTTTGTTTTTGTTTGCTGTAGGGCATGTGTGTCTGACAGAGAAAGGGAAAGTGAGAAATTACTCGCTGGGAGATGGCCACACCACAATCCTTTCTCCTCCATTCTCCTCAGGATTTGGGGCACACACGCACATGCACTTGGCATGATTTTCAAGCCACCAGGTCCATGACTCGAACCATAGTCAGCCATGTGGAAGTCCAGCACCTTAACCACCATGTCATGTACTGGTTCCTTAGGATTATTTTTTAATGCCGTGAATTACTTTGGTAGTTTAGTGAGGACTATGGATACTTTTTTAGAATAATACATATAAACGTATATAATAAATTATATAGCATTACAAGAGAGACGAATTATATTGAAATATAAAAATGAAAACATACACAAAAAAACTTGTGATATGGTAACACATCTTTTTTAACATATTAAATAACTTCTATTATGCTCTCTTTTCCTATTTTGAAATGTATTTAGCGATGGCGCTGGCAGGTGGCAGTGGTTAGTGTTCTGGATTCCCACATGGCTAACCACAGTTTGAGTCCTGGACCTGGTGACTTGCTTTCTCGCTTTCCATCTCTCTCTCACTCTCTCTCTCCCTCTCTCTCTCTCTTTCTGGTCAAATAAAAAAAAACAGTAATGATGAATAAAATTAAATAAAAATCATTCTTTTTTTCTTTTTTTATTTCTTTTTTTATACAATTACCTTTTTTAGCTTATAAAGTGAATATTTCACTATGTGAACATTTTTCCCTAGTCAAGTTGATAACACTATAAAATATCTTCAACAGATAATACCACATTTGTTTGTCCCATTAATGCTTTGCCTCTCTATTTTCTTTAAGAAATGTATTTGGGGGCAGTCAGTGGCATGGTGGAAAAGGTGTTGGACTTCCACATGGTCAACTATGGTTCAAGTCCCTGACCTGGAGACACACCTGGGTGTGTGTGCTTGTGTGCCCAAAATTCTAAGAGGAGAAGGGATTATGATATAGCCATCCCCCCTGGGGGGGTGATTTCTCGTTTTCTGCCTCTCTGTCTCTTTGGTGAGTACACATGCCCTGTAGCAAAAATATTTCTCTAAAAATAAAAATGTACTTGTATTTAACCTATCAATAATGTAAATATATTATCATCCATATGTTATCTAGCTACATAGTCATTTGATGATTCACTTGATTGTGTACTCATATATCTGTATCAGCATCCTCAGTCATCCCGATATAGTTCATGTTGACACACACACACACGTTACATATTGTGATTATTCATAGCTAGCTGATATGGCATATTTGCTAACAGATAAAGCAGAAGACTACTTTAACAATTCATAGACACATAACCTCAAATAAGGCAAATATTCTTAACAATCTTTAGACTAGGAAGGGATTTTCTTTAACTCTGAACTCCCTTACAACTATAAGACTGCTACAATCACTGTGAAAATCATAGTGGAAGGGGTCAACCTGGGCAACTTGCAACATTAAATAAACAAGTTGGTATTCTAATCAGACCTTGAATTGAATGTGGCTAAAGGCCTTTTAACCTATGCTTATTGCAGAAAGAACAATAGATATGGTTTCTCTTCTTACTCTCCTCCCCACCCAAATAAGTCTCCCACTAGGCTTTTGACTTTAAGTAATACTCAACTGTATTAGAGCCATTCAACAAAGTACACTTAGATACGGGAAAAGTGGGAAGAAAACATAAAGACTTTGACTACTTTGGGATATATTTTATCTCTTAGACACACAGGCCAATGGTGAGATTTGGCTATTTCTAGGTGTTCTCTAACACAATGTAAGTAAATTCAGACAATAATTATTAATAGCATCCTGTTTTTAAGGAACATAATGACCACTATTGTCTGAGAAAGCAAACTTCTAGGGAATTTGGAACCATGCTTAAATAAATCTTTGTATGCTGTGATTAGTTTAACATAGTCCCTTGGGTAGTTACATGCTTAATAATCAGAGACCATTACAGTTATTTTGAAATCCAAGGCTCTGTCTCGTTCAGATAGTTGTGCAAATAGTTCACCTGAATGAAGACCATCACTCCTTTAAAATAAATTTGATGAAAGTTCATACTTTAATCTTGGATTTTAAAATTTAGTTTTTATTCTTTTATATAGAAATGCTTTATAAATTTTGAAACAGAAAGAGTTCAAAAGCACCTATATGACCTTATCTTTACATGTTTACTGCTATTACATTACTGGCCACTTAATTCTCACAATAAAAAGACTTCATAGTGAAGCACAACATAGTCTTGTTAGTCTATTTATAATAGCTGTTTTCAACAATAGAAGGGGACTTCAAAAAGTCCATGACAAAATGGGATTAAAAAAAGAGCTTATTTTAGTGTAAATTATTTTGAAATCCATGCATAGTTTTTTCATAATACCCATTTTCTGTGAATTTTTGAAGATCCTTTGTATTAATCAAACAAGGTACAGATAATTCAAATATCTAAAAACACCTGAAAGATAAAAATACACTAAAAAACCAGAAGACAAGTTAGACTTGAAAATAGAAGATGAGTACCAATGTAGATGAGAATACAGTGAAAACAGCATAACAAATAACATAGCTTTACAACATCAACAATATTGTGCAGAAGTGAACAATTGTTTAAAGAAACAGCTCTGGACTTAAATAAGACAAAAATTATTTTCAGTGCATCTTAAAGTTTATTTTAATCTTACCAGGGTTAGTTATACTGACATAGCAGGTGATATTGTAAAACACTGAGACAGAATCTAAAACCCATACACCAAAATAGTGCTTGATTTTGGAGACTCACTTCAGTCCTTCCATCGATTCAAATCATCATCCTCCAACGGGTTTAAATGATATCCAGTGATTGGATGCAGTGTTGGGGGAAGTCTTCAGTTATTTGGAATGAACTGTAGTGCTTTTCCCAATAGTATACTGTATAAGATCAGCCAGAGTCTGAAAATAAAAGTTTTGCTAGAGAGGGTATTCTGCCTAAGCATGATATTTTTAAACTGGCAAGATTCCTGGACAAATTGTTAATTAATCAAAACCTGGCAATTTTCAATAAATGTAGTATTGAATCTCAAGTTACCACATAACTAAACTTGTACACTGGAAGAATCAGACAGAAAAGCGCACAGAGCATTAGATCAATATTTCTGCTTACAAAGTCTAGAATTTTCCTTACATAAGAGCTGATGTTCTGAGTTAAGGGGTCACAAGATATTAGAATTCAAATTTTCTGCTATCATCCTCTCTTCATAAGAGAAAGCATTTCACTTTATTCTTAAAGACATCATAGACCAGGATAAAGTAATCTGTTTTTCATAAATGTATTATCTGATGTTATTAGGTTGAATTAAATATGGTTCTATACAATATATTTTAAAATATTTCAAATATTCTTTTTGGAGAGGTTTTTGCTTTTGGGTGCATGTGCTCGCCAAACAGAGAGAGACATAGAGACAGAAAGCGAGAAATCACCCCCCAGAGGGGATGGTCACGCTGCAATCCCTTCTCTATTCTTCTCTCTCGGGATCTTGGGCACGCACGCACATGCGCCCGGCGTGAGTTTTAAGCCACCGGGTCCGGGATGCGAACCGCGGTCGACTACGTGGGAGTCCAGTGACATAGCCATTACACTAACTGCTGGTCCCAATATTTCAAATATTAAAAGCAGAGTCAATAAATTAAAATGATTGAAACCCACGATAAATATTTGGAAAATATATTCATCTGTAATCTATATCATGGATGACTTTGGCTATTATTAAGAGCTTTTTTTTTTTTTTAATTCAGCAGTGAAATAGGACTTAGTAGTCGAACAATTTCATAGTTGAACTCAATGGTTAACTATAACTTTATTTCTTTATTTTCACCAGCATAAGTAGCTAAGTGGGACGGGAAAGCTGCAATATCTCTCATTATTCAAGTCACTCCACGTTTGTGAAACTATTCTAGTAATCCCATTGGAAGTTTCTCTGCTTTCTGGGACCCATTAAACTTTTCTTGACCAGGTGTTTACAGAAATTCCCTTGCCTGCAGTCCCTAGCTGTTTCGATGGATATTATGTAAATAGTTTAAGAAATGTTAACTTTTAGAAAACTTTTTTCCAAGCCACTTTAGCTTTTAGCTTTCTGATGACACAGAAGAGCAGTAAAAGGAAATATCAGGCAGAAATTGAACATCATCTAATGGTATCAATTCAATTCAGGTAGTTAAAGAACCCAGATGTCATCTGGTACTGTCAAAGGACCCTGAAATACTTTAATTCCCATAACATTCGCTACATTTTCAAGTCTTGGTGCTCTCTGCCCACCCTCAAACTTGTGTGCTAATTCATGTTCTTGTAGATCAGAGAAAATTACATTTCTTTTGCCTTGGAGATCAATACAGAGGAAGGCAGTAGATGCCAGTTATCTTAAGTTGTCCAGGAAGAGATAGGCTCACAAATGTGTGTCTCTAAGTGTCTTCTGCTTTTATTTTCCCAGCGCATTAAGAAGTTTTGAGACAAGAAGATGCATGGGTCCCAAAGTCATTAGCTTGACAGGGTCCTCTCCAAGAACCCCATTAACTCCCATTGGAAAGGAAAGTGGTGTGAACTCCATTTGAAGGTGCAATTCTTGGTAAAACCCTAACACAAACACAAGAGTTGGGGATGGGGAGATCAAAGGAGGAGGAGGGAAAAGGGTCCGGAGAAGACTCACCGCTCCTGCCAGTTCCTCGGTCAGGCACAGCGTCACCAGGAACAGCCAAAACCTGAAACCAGAGGGAGGGTGAGTATTATGGCTCTCCAGGCTCCGGGGTCTTGAGTCTCCCTGTAGCCCCCGACCAACTCCTTTGGATGCCTGCTCCCTCTTTCTCTGCAGTGACAGAAGTACAAGTATAGTTGTGGCCTGGCAAAGTAGCCCGAAGTCGGAAAGGAGGGGAACTAAGGGCAGCAACAGCTCACCCAGGGTGCATGCTTGCGGCTCCTCCGGAGCTGAGTCCCGGGAGACTGCTAAACTGCTCCGCCGTCCCGGCTCATCGGGCTCCGCTGATGCTTGGCGGCAGCTTCCTTACTCAGGACAGGGGAGGGTCCCAAATGGCCCAGTTCGGAAGAAGCTTATCTCAGTTTTTAGATGAGAAATGCTCCAAAGGGAAACAAGCTCAGCGGTGCCTGCTAGCACTCAGGAGATAGTTCCATGCACCAGGAAAGGAAGGAATGGAGGGGAAAGGGGCGGGGCTGCCTACCGTCAATCATCCCCCCTACCTTGGGCTGCCGGTTGTCTTTCTCACATTCAGGCACCTTTACACACTACAGTCTTAAATATCTCCATAGCTTTACAGACGGACCCCTAGAGACCTATATACTAAAACCAAAGCAACTATGCATCATACACTTCCATAAACTTCTGTTAAGTTACACATAAACTTGGGCATGAGACTCCTACATAGACAGATGGACCCCAAAGTGGCCCTGTACACCAAGCCCGAATGCAGACAACACTCATAAATAATTGTACACTAAGCATTTAAGGAGAGGAGTGGATTTCTAGAGTTGTAAAATCTACTCTAAGGTCAGTAGAACCTAAGGATGAGCTGCACCCCCCAATAAATCCCAAACCTTTGAAGATATAAAAGTAATCAATCCTAGCGGCTAAGATAACAGAAACATTCTGAAAATTCTTCAACAAATTCCTGAAAGATGTTCTAAGAATCTATATATTTTCTGGGCCTTTTGATACTTTAAATAATCTGCATATCAGAATTGTCAAAGTAGCATTCAAGTCTATTTGGAAGACATCATTGAACTGCCAACTCCACATAAATATTGCCAGTTAGGTGTTTGTGTAGTTCTATGGAGACCGCAGTAAAGTTATTTAATGTCCTGCTCTTAATACTTCTGCAACACAGCTGCAATGAGAATCAATGTGTTTTGTGTTAGCTCAATATAGAAGGTAAACATTAAATATATTTAATGTAGCTAAGTAAAAAGATAACTGTACTATAATAGCGTCCAACCATACTATAATTACTAATACACACTGAATGCTCCCAAATCTAATATATATGTAATAGGAATATTCACACACATACATATGTTCAATTTTTACTACATTTGTAACCATATTAAATTTTATATATTTCCAAAAATTTCACATGTTCTGCTTATATGTAGAAACTCTGACCTGCGAAGAGTTGGCAGTCAAAAAACCCCAACAGCCCACGAAGCAGCGACCAAAATTTGGTTCTAATGATTAACAATTAAAAAAAAATAAAAACAAAACACGGAGTCTGAGATCCATCCGCTAAAAAAAATAGTCCCAGCTCAGGTCTATTTATAATTGGCTTTGATGCTCACACCAATGAGAGTGGGACTGAGCAGGGAAGAAGAGTATCAAGGGAAGGTGCAAATGAACGAATAGAAAAGCTTCCCAGTTGGACTCCCGGTGCTCAATCAACTTAGCTTGGAAATTTCCCTCCCCCAAATAACTGAGTCTCACTCCCTCGCAGGTTGCTGGTGCAGGCTGAAGCTGTGGCGGAGTGATACTCAAATTCCCCAGTGCTGGTGGGGAGGGGGGCGGTGCAGGGGGGAAGAGAGGGAGGAAAGTAGATCTGTAGGACTTGAGTGAGGAAAAAGTTTGCAAGTCTGGACAGAAGGGAAAAGTGCTCCCGAGAGACTGCCTTTGGGGAGGGGAGGGGGGAGGGCAGAGTGGCTTCTTTTTTCTCCCCCCCTCTACTCTTAAAAAGCTTCTTTCTCTTCACCAAGCTGACCGGCACAACTGGGACACCCTCGCTGTCCCTCTCTGGCTCTAGCTCTCCCAATAAATCCTCAAGATTATGTCAATTGGTCAGAGAGAGCCGGGGATTTCGTGCGGGTGCTGAAGGAGCTGCGGGAGCTGGAGAAGAATGAAACTGCGTGAAGTCAGCCAGGCTGCCGGCTTGCTCTTACTGGCCCTGAGTCTTTGGGGGCAGCCTGCAGAGGCTGCGGGAAGTCGCCTCCCCAAAATAGGGCTGCTTGCTTTCCTACAGCTAGCAGAGCCTGGGGTGGGGGACGCATATTAAGGGATCACTAGGCTCTGCTGGGTATTTAAAACTTTCCTCCCCACCCTCCGCCCTCCAGTGTTACCCTGCCTGCTGGCTAACCTTTTCACTGCTTGTACCCAGCCCACGCACTCTTAAAACTTTGTCTATAGTTTAATATTTGGACTATCTAAAATCCAGCTTCTATGAAACTGTTAAACTCCCAGATGAAGTCTTCCTCTCTGCTCTTTCCTTAAACACCTTGAACTCCCCCCCCCCCACACACACCTCAGGTAGTAAAGCCACTGACTGACTTTCTCCTGACATCCTTGTTATAAATGCTGTGGCCACAGATTTCAGATCTTTTGAGTCTTTTTTTTTAAATTACAGACTTTTGTTTATTTTATTATTATTTTTTAATTCACCAAGGCACCTGAACAAATGGAGAATTTGCCCATCGTATTTAAAGGAAAAGAAATCTCTTTTTCCAAAGGAAAGTGTTCTAGTTCAAAGGAGTATGGGTCAGGGTGTTCATATGAGGTGACAGAGCAAAAAGTTCTACTCAGTTTTCAGAATGTAGAACTAAAACCCCAATATACCTCCTAGAAGGATGTCTGGGTAGTCCCACCCACTATCCTTCTGGGGATGAACAGTAGATGTAAAGGAATGAATGACTTTGTGGAGAAAATGCTCTCCAGTGGGAAGCCCATCATCCTTAATTTCATTTACACACAAAGAATAAGTGTAACAAGTTATTTCAGTGTTGTATTTGAGTGATCATAATGGGTGTTTTTCAAAACACTTTATTATGAGTTCATGGCTTAGGCCTTCACAAGGCTGAGTGATTATCAGTTCTTTATATGCAGCTGCTATGTTATAAGAACTGAATCCACTTTCAAGTTAGCTTCCTTATAGTGCTCAGCAAGTCTCAGATCATTGCCCTCTCTATCCTTCAGAAAGGTATGAGAACTTTCATAATACTCTAAGAACAACATAATTATGATGGCAAATCTGCTGAAAAACCATGCGTATGGAATATGATCAATCATACATGCTATAACTTTCCTACATCAAAGTAGATAATTGATTTAAAATTGCACCTTAATAGACTAAGGTTTACCTAGTTATTAATGCTACATACAGACTGTTGAATAAAACTACAATTATGCTCCTGAAAATAGTTAACTAGAAATACCCAACTTTGTGTCTACTGCTTATGGCATTTGGCCCAGGGGCAAAGATTCTGTGACCATTTAATTAAATATTTCTCTTTTTGTCTTTTAATGTTGCTTATAATAAATGTGCACCACATAACAATTGTACAGGTAAGTAGAGCAACACTGCACATCAATTTGCATTATATAAATTTATGTTAAAATGAGATTGCTTTTTATGACTGAAAAAAATTTGGGAGCAAACTTATTTTCTTGGATTTTTAAACTAACACTGAATATTCATGAAATAATAGACTCTTTTCCTTTTTCCTCCTGTATAATTTTTCAAAGAAAATTTGACACTCTATTTTTCCATCATATTGTGTCTATTAAAACCAGAGTTTTTTTCTCTTGCTACACACATCAATATCCTAGTTAGGTGAATATTTCAATCATCTCAAAAAATATGTATGGAATTTGCTCTCCACACTAGTATTGAGGATATTGATGACCTTTTCTAGAGTAAAATGGTATGGTAATGACCTGATTGTTGACTGAAATAGTCTAGTTTTGGAGCTTGTATATAAAGAAGAATATAGCTACTTAAATTGCTCTGCTTTATCATAGATAAGTGATTTTTAAAAAATCTCTGAAGTTATAATACATTAGAATATCACAAATACATGGACGATTTTAGAGTGTTCATTAGGTGAAATAAAGTAACCGTTATGCAGAAAGGCTAGCAATAGGAGAAAAAGGCAGTTTTAATTTGAAAAGGTCATTTCTAGTGATGGAAATAACTTTTTTATGTAAAGTTAATTATAGTAGTGCTGACTTACTGTCAGTAAGATATGCACTTAGATTTATGGATATGGGTATGGGGAGTATGCAAAATTATGCTATTCCTATTGTACCAATGTTACTAAGCTGTTTTTAATGCAGTAACGTGAATAGGTTTCTCTAATTTAAATGTACTATCTTCCTAGTGACCAGCTGCAAAAATTCATCAAAAGTAGTAGTGTGGTTTGTAGACATGGAGCTCTGTAGGAAGAATTTGTCATTATCGTTATCATTGTCTTTACATTTTTGAGTGTTTAGTATATGCCAGACACTGTGCTAATAATATCATGTATGTTATCATATTTAGTCTTTACAACAGACCCATGAGGTATATACAGTATTTTCCTTTTAGCTATTTAGGATGCTTGAAAGCATGGATGATACTGAACCCTATGTAAACAATGTTTTTCCTGTACATACATACATACATGTGATAAAGTTCGATTTATCAATTAGGTACAGTAAGAGATTAACAACAATAACTAATAACGTAATAGGACAATTATAACAATATACCAGAATCCCTGCTATGGTGTCATTAAGTAAAATAAGCGTTAAGTACTACAATACCAGGACAGATGATAAAAAAAGTGAGATGGGTACTACGGGACTAATGCAGTGTATACATTATGGATATGCTGGACAAAGGGATGATTCAGGTCCAGGATGGGATAGAGTGGGACAAAGCAAGATTTTAACACATTACTTAGAATGGTGTGCAATTTAAAACTTATGAACTGTTTATTTCTGGATTTTCCCATTTAATGATTTTTGACTGTGGGTAATTGAAATCAAGGAAAGGAAAGCTGTGGATAAGAGGGGGACATTATTATCCTTACTTTACAGATAAGAGGTACAAATCATGGAGGTTAAGTAACATGCCAAAAATTATGTAAATAATAAGTTGGGGAGCTGGAAAATTTGAATCCAGGGAGTTTGTTTCTAAGGCTTTTGCCCTTAATGACTATCTTATACTGCCTTCTTTGTATGTGTTTTATACTAAATGTATTTGGTGTTCAAAGTACTTGCATATTTGCTACTTTTTTGTCACAGGAAATAAAATGCAAATGAAAATGGAGTTATGTATCTTCCTCTGGCCTTAGGACACACAGCATTGTATAATAGAAAGAACTTTGGACTTAGAATAAAAAGATCAGGGCCGGCAGATGGCATGGT